GAAAAGTGCCTTCGAACCGACTCCAAGATACGCGCTACATCCCTTATCCAATTCGCGGACCTCGCGTGCCACCGAGCGTACAATTTCTGTCTGGTATGGTGGTAGGTGGGAGAGGGATTGCATGCGTTTGGCATGTTGGACCTGAGAGCGAGAACCACAAGAGTGCGGTTGAAGCATTAGCATACAGCGGGCGGGACTGCTTTCTCTGGGACTATGCAGATAGTGGAAATTGCGAGAATCTTGCAAGATAGAACGTCTTTCTTACCAGTTTGTTTCCCAATTCTCCGTACATTGGGTCCAATCGGGTATGTCGGGGTCCCAATAATGGTTTCGGGGTCCTGAACTGTAGGGGCTGTATGCAACCTACTCTGTGCAGGGAGTGCCTCGATTATTCTCCTGTACTGAATAATATTACCTGTCCACAGGCTGCCGGGATATCCCCATCTAGTCCTCCTAATGGCCAGTCTGTGTTTGTGAGCCTGGATGCTTTGAGGCGCGCGGTGTCTAGTCCACTGGGGGTGACGCGGTGGTTGATCTGCAGTGGACGGAAGGTTCTGATGCCAAGACCATGCAGCCAAACCGGGAGTTTCTACACACAATGGAAGCTTCTTTGGTGTGTTCCCAGACAGTCGGTGTTCTTTATTCATTTCTATTATCATTATTCAACATTCATGAGCATTTTTCTTCTTTGCTATTCTTTTGTTCTATGTTTCTATTTTGACTTCCTTTCTGCAACACGGCCTTGTAGCTTGTTGCAGCTTTCAAACGCCTCTCTCTTTATCTGACTGAATGCCTGGTTCCGAGCCCCACTGCAGGCGAACGCCCTTCCCCCAACTTTCTGCATAGTGGAAGGAGAAGTAACCCTGCATTTCAGTATGTGTACTATTCTTAGGACATATACTATTCCTGCTACAATGCGCTGACAGATGAGATATAGTCGCAGAATAGGGATTCCGTTCACAATGTTATTCCCCACGTCCCACACCCGTCAAACCAAGGGGGTACTACTACCATCTATCAACTGCATTGCTCTTGAAGAGAGCGCAAAGCTTTACTAGATTCAAACATTGGAATTGTAACATTCGACGACTAATCACATTAACACTAATGGTAAGCTACAGTACACAGTACACTACATGCGTTCCAGGCATGTTATTGAAATCCCAATGGCTTGTCCAAATTTGTTGCTCGCCCAACCGCCTGTAATTAAGAAAATGGACTTCACAGTAATAAAGCCGGGATAGGAGAGAAAATAAAAAAACATGGTGAGAGATGAATAGGAGAATATCAAACAGTCCAGCCCCCCCACCCCCTAACCAGTGAAA